GTTTGTCTCTGTCTGTTTGTCTTTGTGTGTGTCTTTTTGTTTGTTTGTTTGTTTGTTGTTTCTTCGTTTGTTTCGTTTTATTCCATTGTTCTCTTTTTTTATTTCTCCATAGCATTTTTTAGAACCCTCATGTTTGTCTATTCATCAGGATCCTACTGATATTCAATATCTACCGCAGCAAGATCAACCTGATGTTAGTATACATATTCAGTAAATTAACAATTAACAAAAAGTCTATGCGCCTATGTTTATAAGGACTTTCAATTTTGGAAATTCAACGAAGGCGACTTCAACTGGAAGTGTGAATAATTTCTCTTTGGGGTTCTGTTCATTAGAGATTTCATTCACAATATTATATCAGTAAAGTCGACTCATCCACAGGATAACGGACTTTGAAGGTTCGGAACCTCAAAGTGGTGTTTGTACTTTATTGCAAAGGAATGTATGTGTAATTGTGAATAGTAAGAAGAACTAAAGTAATATTGGTAGTTAGGCTTATCAATTTGTGCATGTTTGCTCTTATAAATATTGGAAGGCCCCGTAAAAAGGCTAAAACAAACACAAGCAGAACACACATGCAAAAACTGGTGAGCTAGCTACAAAGATTACTTTAGTTGTTCTTGCGATACACAATTCCACATGCATTCCTTTGTAATAAGGTAGAACTGGGCTTCCTGTGGTTAAGCGCACCGTCCCTTCTTCCTAGCTAGCCTTGCAGTAGCAGAAGATAAATATTGGAAAGTTTGGTACTTGCATAGCGTGCGCGTTTACATTTTCCAAACAAAAAACTCCGAGTTGGGGGTCAGAATCGGCTTTGGACGAAGTGAAAACCAGGAAACAGTCGAAATGGGACTCGAAAGCTCGTCAGAAGCGAAATCGGAAGGATCTTAAGCTGAGGTATTTTCGCGATACGCCGTTGCGCGAACAATTGATGTCGTGTAACATGATATCACGTACAAAGATTTTCGGATTCGGCAACGCGTTGCAAGTTTTGATCCAGCTTCAAAAACTCGCAACGCAGAATGGCGAATTTTTTGCTAGTTGATTCGTGTAACAGCTTCACGACTATTTTCCGCGCAACGCGTACTCAAAATGCAGTTCGATTCTCTCATAGAAGCGAGGCGATGTCAACAAACAAAATGGCGGCTTTGACAGAGGACGACGAGGACTAAGCACGATGTTGTTACTTTTATTAAAAGTCGACTAGTTGCGAATCGTCCCGCACTGCATGAAATGGGTTATATAAGGGCGAAAAAGGAATCCTTAAACTTATGGTTGAACAATCGGCTGCATAAGGGTTTTGGCGTATCCCACTCCGATTTTGACTTCGAATAGATTCCGTCACAAGTAAAAACCAGGCTAAAGTGTGCTGCTTCTTACCGTTGTGGTATGGCTTTGATTACAGTGGCCATTATATTTGTGGCCATTAGTTTTTTCTCTTTTGCCTCCGAAGTTTCACTCTCTTACGTTTTTCTAACCTGCGAGGTCTCTGGCTCGATTCCTGGACTCAGTATTGCTTGTCAGTATAGAGTTTATTGGCGGGCCTAACCTTTGAGTCGAAGGTTTTTCTCTAGTTTTCTACAACAAAAACTACCACGAAACCCAAAACGTATAAATTCCAGTAGAGAGCTTCAAGTGTGACGTTGATCGTATGAAGGAAAAAAAAAAAAAGAATTTTGGGTCAAATACGGAAAACAGTTCTATAAAGAATGTCCTTACTTTCCTTCATGGCAGAATTTGATGTCCAAGGTTCTAATGTTTCCAGTTGGATCGGAGAAATCATTAAGAACATTTTTCGCTTTATTTTATCAAGTTTTTATGAGCAGTTGAACCCGGAAAATATGTCACAACTTTAAAGCTCTGTACATTTTTTTGGTATAGAGCCCTTGCATGTGACGTCAAACCGGCTCAATTTGGAGGACAAAACAAAAGAATTGTAATCATCTCATGAGAATTGGAAACCTTTTGTTATGTTCTCCAAATTGAGCTACATCCGACGAGCTGCAAGGAGTCTATTGTATTAGTTACCGCTGTTTACCTTACATGCAGACTCATTTTTAGAGTGATCGCACTTAATCTGTGAAACAGTGCTACGTTTATGTTGCACTAAATAGTACGATTTAGTGCAAAGCATGGTTTTCTATTGTTTTACCTGTCTTATCCAGTACTAGTTACATAGTATAACTGTTTGACAGATATAGAGTTTGCAGTGTAATTTAGATTCTATGATTTGTTGTAGGTGAGAAGGGACACGCCATCGCCACAGGCCGGTGAAGTACGTAAGTTGGTTATCCTCTAGTCCAGACTTCTATGTTTTATATTCTTAGGGTGCAGGTTTTGGCAACGCCGCCATCTTGGTTGACGATACCAAAGCATTCCCCATTAGCTTCTAGTGTTAGATCAACCAACAGGGCGGCTGTTTAATTGTCATTGTCATTTAGTGATTTTGAGTCGTGGTTGCACCCCAAGAATAGGTTGCTATCAATAGACGTCACTTCCGGTAATAGCTCTTTTTTTTATGGATTGTAGAATCCTGGAGGTTGTTTTGATCTCTTGTTTTCTGGTTTGATGTCGTGAAAATAGTCAAATACAATAGTTTGAGGACTTGTTTTGATATGTTTTGACTTAGAATCCGCTAGTTGCCCCTCAGTCAACCGCTTGTTTGCCCTCCAGTCAACTCCAAAAAGTCACGTAATGGATAGTAAGCAATAAGCCGTTACGAGGTTGAGGAAGAAACCTGGGTCGAGTTGGTATTCCAGTGTAATGGACCCTTCTTAAAATTTTCTAGAATGCGAGGCTTACATGGAAATACAAAAGAAATCACACTTTTTCTCGATGGAATTTGTGGCATGTCTTTTGTATTTCCATGTAAGCTTCGCATCCAAGACAATTTTAAGAAGAGTGCATTCGGGGCAGTTCTAAGGGACGAAATATCTGCTGTCCTGGAAATATGTTCCCTAAAACAGCCCCACAATGCAACGCCAACTCGACCCAGTTCTTTTCTCAACCTCCGGATGGCTAATATCTAATAATCAAACAACAGTTCTCTTTCTCATATGATGGATTCAATCACAGACTCATCAGCCTTTATTCGGGTTTAGCCTCGTTTATTAGCTAGCTATTCACAGTTAGTCTATCATTCAAAAGGATTCACTGCCGAGTGAAATTTATAAATCAATTATTCAAATAAGTTACGCAGTTCTAAATAGCTGTTGATAATGATTTCTGAGTCATGAGGGAAGTCTGTAGTCAAGCAGACCCCTTGCAACCATTTCATTCCTTTCTAATCATCTATTCCATTTCATTCCATTGGAAAAGATATATCACAGTTGTAAATATTTGCCATTTAAACTGATAAATATTTTGTTCTCTGACAGGTTCGCATGATGGAATCCAGCGGAGTGGTGTAAGAGAGTGATCTACGAAGCTACCAGAAAACATCCGCACTAAATATAGAACACGTATCTAAATATAGGCATGCGAGGACAGTGTGACGTCACGCTTAGTTGTGCAGCATTTGGTTGCGTCACACTTAGACGTGAACCAGAAATAACCAAGTAGATGATTTAGAAAATGTTAAGCTTTTYGCTTAATTATAGAAAGTATTATGGAATTGAATTAACTAATTCAGTGTCAAATGAGGTCTTGAAATAACTCCCCTTCTCACTGACTGACTTACAGACAGACAGACAGACAGGCAGACAGATACACTCACTCCGCCATCCTTCCCCCCACTCCCGGCATGCACAGCTCGACTTCTCTTTACTCTTCAACTTGAAAGGAGTAAGCAACTGCTGTTGTTTTCTGACATGATTGAAAACGTTGTTTCCCGTTCTTGAATCTGCCAAGAGCCAACTTTTGATGTCGACATAAACAGTCGTGTTTAAGGGTGAATGTTTTTCGTCAAAATTTAACAAAAAAGCTAGATGCGCTTTGTACCTGCAAAAAGAAATCAACGCTCAGGTAGTGTAGCTATCTCATCCAATCGGAAAGCAGCATTGATCAAAGACCGCTAGCCAGTTGGATCTGACTAGATGAATATACAGTATATAAACTCAACTTCAATTTTGATCGAAACCATTGTTACCCGCTGGAATACTAGGAAGCCTTCCTTACTACAATGCGTCTGACGAACAGTTATTCCACGCTACCAGTCTATGTGTGCAACACATAGTAAGTAAACTCTAAAGTGCCCCTCACCCCTAACTCGATATTTTCAGTATTGATATCGATATTTTCAGCTTATTAAATAATTGTGAAAAATCATTTCAGTGCCTTTTGAAGTTTTTTGCTCTGTGATAACAGAAATGTTTCTTCAGTACATTGGTACAAATATTCCTTCCCTGTCGTCTTCGCTGTTTTTTTTTTTTTTTTTTTTTTTTTTGTTTTTTTTTTTTTTTTTTTTTGCCTGTTCGTATACTGAAAACCATCCTTATTTGATCTTTTTCGATGCTCTTTTACATCAATTATTAATTTTAATTTTCTTAAAATTCGTCCATGAAGAATACATTAATTTCAACTTTTTTCTGATTTTGAAGACATTTTTCTCGTCGAAGACTAAACATTTTTCTCTCACATTTAAATCGCTACAACTCTGACCAATCAAGAATCGCTTGCTAAGAATAGCTCGGGCTTGTGCGCGGAGCTAAAAATAGATTTTCAAGAAACTTTCATGGTTACAGACCCATTTATGGTAGATGTGCTCTCTTACTCAATATTCTCGGTGTAAACCGAATGAGCACCGTTAATTTCCGCGTACCTTTGAGGAAGTGAAGCTTGAAACCACGTACTGAACTTACAATCAAGAAGGCAACGGAAGACTCACGAAGCTTGGCGTACTATTTGATATATAAAAGTCACTCGTTCGAGTGCTTCTACATATCCCAGCATTTGTTGATCGAGTCATATTCTCGTGCTATCATCATGACTACATCCTTCAAGATACTTTGCGTTTCCCAGTTTGTCATCGGGTTTTTGATGCTTGTGTTCGGCTTGGTCGATCGACTCAAGGTAAAACTCCCATACAGCTTCGTGATGTTTCCAATTTGGATCGGCATTTTGGTAAGGACTTATTTACCCGTTTCAAAAAAAGTTGTCATCACTAACGGCAATAGGCGATATGTCATTCCAACGTGGAAATGGTTTCGTTGAATACAAAGAAAACTTTATCAATCTGCTCAACGCTAAGGTCTTTGTTCTTGACGAGAATAAGAAGCAGAAACACAAGTCATTCCAGCCGAGGCTTCTTGGATCTTGCAATGAATTATACTCCTATATCGCTTTTCGCCTTTTGTCTATCGCCGTTGGTGACGACAACCTTTTTTGAAATAAGTATGTGCTAGCGAAATCTTTATGATATCAGCCTTTTTAATTTTATTCTATTTGCTACGTTTTTCCGAATAAACTATAGTGAGTAACATTGGAAATGAGTGTAATTTATAAATGTGCGCCATCAGTACAATTATGACTTTTTAAACTGAAAATGTATATCAAAACGTCATCACACATACATTTATTGGTTTACGTTACCGACACCAATAGTTCTTGACTCCGCTTCAACTCAGTTTTCGGCTATATCACTTTTTCACTTATTGCCTGCATATGATCGACATCGATAAGAAAACTGGCTTAAATTGTTATCTAAATCATAGTTATAAACCGAGAACCTAGTGGCGGATCCAGGGGGGGATTCGAAGGGTTCCACGGAACACCCCTTGAAGGTTCGATCTTTTAGGTAATAGAAATATGTCTTATATAAATTTTGCTTAAAAGTATCCACAAGGATAATGTTGAACACGAAATGATAAATATTTGGTGTTATAATGTTTAATTTACCTTTAAGTTCCGTTACTAGATAATAAATCAGGTGATTAGAGCCAATTTTTTTGTCAGACATCGACTAAACAAAAGAGAATTATACACAGTTTAAGAAACGGAACCCCCCTTTGAAAAATCCTGGATCCGCCACTGCGAAAGAGGGAACTTTATTTCACAGCATATTACGAGAATCTATCGAGATGAAGTAGAACGGTTTCGAACTTCAAGCGTCTCGAAAATCCTGAAATAATGAACCAATCGCAGTTGTAAATAAAGTACGTTAATACTAAAGAGGAAAAATAAATTGGGTTCGAAAACATCATTATAGGATTCAGCTATAACTATCAAAAAATGATTTCCGCTTTCATGCGCCATACATGGGGGAGGGGAGGAGGGTGGAAGGAGGAGGAAGTCTACGGATCGATGGTTACGCAAATAATTACTGTCAAACCAACCATGCGTTCCTATCAAGATTCAAAGATTCAATTTATTACTCGAAGTTGGATTTCCATCTTGCTTTGAAACTTGCATTCATGAAACAAACGTTGCAAATGAAAATAAAATAAAAATCATTTTTATTTAAGTCTAGTCGTTCTAGCGCATTCGCACTAATTGGGGACACTTTTCGCTCACGCGCACTACCACTTCATTCAATATTCTTTGCACACGACGCTCAACTCACATGTTGAATGATTTTGAATTTGAATTCTGAGCTTAAAAGTTTATTTAGTTCTTTACAGATTCGACGTGAAAAGCTAAAATTATTTCTACACTTGTAGCTACCATATTAAAGTTTTGAATTTGTGTGGCGTTATGTTAGCGTTTTGTTCAAAATTCCTTTCACAAATGAACATTTTGATGTTTTGAAGTAAATTGGATTGAAATTTACAACCTTCGTTTCATTAATGCAAGCTTCAAAACAAGATGGATATAAAAATTCGCAACTGGGTACAGAACGTGGTTTCTCACTGTTACCCTCGATAGGAACGCATGAGCTGGTTTGACTGTAAGTCCGGATTTCGGATTCAGAGTATAAATTTTAACGGGAGCAATGTTTGGTCCGGATTTCAGTTTTTGCTCGTTTATAATATAGAATCCCATAGGTCATCGTCAATGCRCGCTCTTATTGGCTAGAGATGACGTATACAAGCGGGTATTTCTCGTGGAATCACCTGTTTTTGCCGAACAATAGGAGAATTGATTTAACTTAATACACCGTATGGTTTGTGATATTTAGAAACTGACGATATCAAACTTTCCACATAGAAAAGTTGTCGTTCCGCTCGAGCTGTTTCTTTTACCATATATGGAATGTACTTACCATATTAGGAAATTGGAATATAATTTTCTTCACTAAATAGGCGAATTTCTTGCTCAAAACTGCTCAAATTTACAGTAAATCGAGTGAAAACATCACTAACTAGTTAGCCATCTTGGTTTTGGCCGAAAAAAGACTGGAAATTGTGTAGGGGAGGGGAGCGTGGTTTGTCACCACAGGAAGCCCGCGAATGACAACAATTGTTTGATATGTTTCGGACGTTAGTCCTTCGTCGGAGTAAATGTGTTTGACATTTACTCCGACGAAGGACTAACGTCCGAAACGTCAGTTTCTAAACATCACAAACCATACGGTGTATTAAGTTAAATCAATTCTCCTATTGTTCGATTCCAAACACCGACGCAGTTAATTAGTTTATCTAGTCTCTACCATGTTTTTGCCGAAGCTGAATCGCATAACAAATAAGGGAATTCCACGGATGAATTTAGCATTAAATCTTAATATTTGTTCGTTATTTCCCATCAAAACATCAAATAAACGCGAAAAGTACTAAAAATGAAAGGAAGAAAGACAACTTTTTATAGTAAAATAAACGATATGTTCCCGAAAATTAGAATAACACAGGAACCCCGCGCTGGCTTTTTTTTTTTTTTTTTTTTTTTGTCGTGTAAATCTAAAAACTCGTAACAATAAGTCTATATTTTCAATCTCTTCGCTTCTCGATTCGTGCGATATCGGTTTTCTTGTGAAATTCATCGTGGAATTCCCTCGTCAGCCAATGAATTTTACTATAAAAGCATCGTGCACGTGGTTCTTTACATGCAAACCAAAAAATTGCTGAAACCCAAACACGTACGAGGCAACTGTCAAACTATTTGCAAATTCGGAGCAGAAATTTTTTTGCGATCGACGGCGGATTCGGGCATTACTTTTCACAGAACGAGTATCGACGGATCATAAGCCTTTACGCCAAACCCTAGGAGCCATTTTTTGATACATATTTTTTAAGAAGACTCATCTATGCCGGCACTGATTTGTATATTGAAATGTATATTATTCCTTGTGTCTTTTTTGTGCGTGTACCAGGCCAGTCCTTCCTCCCCTTCACCTAGTTGATACCGTACAAATCAATCACTCAATAAATCCTTTTTTTTTACGATTTTCTTTTACAGGCGGCCATCGCTGGCTCTTGGGGCATCTTGATTGGAAATTACTATCAAAGAAGAGGTTTCCATGGGCCGAGCATGGTATGTATGCTACGTTAGAACCTAGGCAAGGTCTACTTCCATTGCTCAAATAAGAGTACGTACAGTGACACTGATGAAAATAGGATAAGTATCTGAGTTAAAACGCGTACGATGATCAGYTGGCTACCGTTCAGAGGACAAAGACACCCTCGCGCAAAATCGTTCACTGAAAAATATTTTACGAAAGCAATATATAATGGCTGCTTGTGTCTCTTCTCTGAGAGCTGTAGAACACTTGAAAAGGAAGACGCTTATAATATCAAACAAACTTTCTCTTATTTGTTTGGTGATCGATGTCTTCATCTTCCTGTTATAGTATATATCGTCATCTTCATCATCAGCAGATGCTCTACAGCTCCTAGCGTGTTTATATAAGCAGACATGCGTGTATTTTTTTATTTTAACAGTTGTCAGGGCTGAGAGCGATTAACATCGTATGTGCTGGACTTGCCTTCCTCTCATTGTACTTTTATGTAGGTACTTTATCAGCCTTAGCCTACGCAGATAATAATGTAGTGTCTTTTTATGCATCGCCGCACCCTCTCGAAAAAGGCATAACATCTGTGGTCATAATCCTTTCCGGTGCTGAGATGCTCTGTGGAGTTTGGTTGGCCTTGTTGAACAAAGAAGTAATGTTCCTGGGGTCTACGTCACCCATTCAACAACAGGTAAAACTGGTTTGACCTTATCTTTTACGCAGTTGGAAATGCATGCTAGTCAGTCAGTCCGTCAGTGAGTCCGTTAGTCCATCAGTCCGTCAGTCCGTCAGTCCGTCAGTCCA